AAAACAAAAATGGAGGGATAAAGATAAATCTATTAATTTCTCAGCAAACCAGTTTCTATGCTCGCACAGTAATGATCTGCATTAAAATTCAACATTTTAATCTCAATCGGATCCTTCTGCTTGCTATCAGCTTATGGCCATATCAAAAATCAAAATTTGATTTGTGAAAATTCTATTTCAGACAACTTTGTGTTTTAATATTCTGACAAGCTTTGATATATTCCAGACATGTTCATATTTTTATTCAAATTATTATTGAATATATATTACAAACATCATTTCTAATTATAGTACAAACGCACACTTTTATCAAAATTTTTATATATGATCAAATTAAATTTGATTATTGATAATAGAATATATTGTAACTGCAACACATAATTATTAAAGTTTCATTACATTATTATATATCATTGCATATATTACAAAGCAAATTATCATTTTGATCTGCGTAAAGAGAAATGATTTTCTTATGCAACATTTTTAATAAATTAATTGGTTGAAGCTTACAGCGCTGGTAACCGCTAAAAATGCACGCTTGACTTTATCATCAAAATTTTATCTACCACAATATTCTTTAGTTTCTACATAATTAACAACAACATGTTCTGGATTAACACTCATCATGTAAGATAATTGTTTAAATCTTGTATAAATTAATATCTTGTCAAATAAATCAATACTTTCTAAAATAAATAAATTTTTATATATCGCAATTTTTTCCAACTTTTTCAAAACAATTTAAATATTGTTGTAACGATAGAAGAGAAATTTGTTGGAGCAACTACAGTGTGTCTGTAATGAGTTAAAGGATGAAAACAAACTTGCCATCTTTAAAATGTATGGAAATAACACAAAACGTTGTACAGCTATATTTACATGTAAGTATCTCTTACCAACTACTATACTGGTCTTGGCAATAACTATTACCACCTCAAATATCTTTGAATCTATAAGATCCAGAAGAAGATTCGCGTAACTGTAAAGTTGCACGGTGCGAAGGGAGCTATCATATGGCGCCAATAATTTTTGTCCATTTTTGTGGAAACACTTCAAAGATTTCAAAGTTACTTCCATTTTTTAAAATGGCATGCTATATTTTTTTTATCCTTGGTATAATAGCGGATGTACAGACAATTTCAGCAACCTATAATACAAGATCATTCAGCGTTAAATAAAAGAGTAAAACAATGATTCTTACGTCATAAGAGATGCTCGAAGTGATGTCCGTTTGCATCGGTGCAACACTGAAATCGTTGATTTCCTGAATCACGTACACTTCTTAACACTTCCGATTTGACTGATTATCGTATTTTTTTGAGAGGAATACTAAAAGACACTGTATACCAGGGAATCCCGACCACAGCGGAAAATATGAAGGAACGAATTATTGCAGCATATGCGATAATCAGTCCGGAAATGCATCAATCCAAATGGACATCACTTCGAGCATCTCTTATGACGTAAGAATCATTATTTTACTCCTTTATTTAAAGTATTATAGGTTGTTAAAATCATCTAAACATACGCTATTATACCAAAAATAAAAAAATATAGCATGCTATTTAAAAAAATGGAGGTAACCTTGAAATCTTCGAAGCGCCTCTACCTAGACAAAAATTATTATCGCCATATAATAACCTCTTTCGTACCGTGCAATTTTGGTTACACAGATCTTCCTCTAGACCTTACAGATTCGAAAATATTTAAGGTGGTAAAAGTTATTGCTCCGCCCGGTATGTCATGAAATTGAGCATATTCCAATCGGGAGAAAAGTTAAATATTTAGATTAGTCTGATTAATTATATTTTGTCTCTTAGCTTAAATATTACACCTTTCCATCAGAATAATAAAAGATATAAAACTTGTATGCTTAAAAACATGTTGACATACCTATATGTAATTTCTACAATTTATATATACATATACAAGATGTTTACTATTTATTAGTAGCATAGTGAAAATATATCATAGTCAACATTCTGCAAAAATATCAGAGCAAAAAGGTTATTAAAAAATAGCAAGATTTGAGAGAGAGATTATTATAGAATTATGCATAAATAACAAACGTTATAAAATATAAAAGAGCAATTTTGAAATTATTTTATTTAAATGTTTATAGTGTTTGCCATAGGCTATACACTTTTTCATATTTTCCTGCCAATTTGGCCACATATCTATGGTACTGTTCTGCACATAAACGGGTAAATATGCATATTAGCGCCGAACTCACCGATTTCAATGACCTTGATATATGTTGTCAAGGACATGACTCTAAGTAACTTGCAAAAAATTTTAGCCGTCGTTCGTTGTTTATTACAAAGTTATTAACAATCAAAGATAATTCTACTATCTTCTATTACTACGTAGAAACTACTATGAACAGGTTCTACATGGGTTTACAACTTTCCACGCGAAGCGAGGTTTAACGCAAACCTATGTGTCTAGTTTTTTGATAGTGGAGCCCCCCCGCAGGGGGGGGGCGAACATACTGCCTCCACGCATATACTTTTTAATGAGAAGTAAAATTCCATATGGGTTTACAACTTTTCACGCAAAGCAAAGTTCAACTCATATACAAACCAAGTAGAATCTCACTTTGCTTTAAAAAGTATAGGCATGGACACAGTAGGTTCCGCCTCCGGCGGGAGGGCCCCACTATCGAAATACTAGACACATAGGTTTGCGTTGAACCTCGCGGATCGTAACCGCCACTTTATTCGCGATATGAACTAAACCTTGCACTCAAAGTTGCAAACCCATTTAAAATCGTATATCGCTTTGCGTGAAAAGTCATAAACTTAAGTTGTTAATAACTTTGTAATAAACAACGTGCGACGGTTAAAATTTTTTGCAAGTTACTTAGAGTCATGTCCTTGACAACATATATCAAGGTTATTGAAATCGGTGAGGTCGGCGCAAATATGCATATTTACCCCAAAATGCTCAAAAATATTAACTTGAAGAATCAGACAATGATTTATAAAAAATTATTTTATGCTGTCAAAATTCATCACAAAACTATAAAATTGATATGCATGCGATAACAATTATATAGTATGTGTAATAACATTTCATTTTTTATAAAAGTTCACCGACTTTATTATTTAGTTTGGAAGACTTGCTTTTGTTAATAACGGTAATTGTAATTTCTCTGAGCCTAAATGTATTTTTTTTTTAAGAAAGTGTTTTTTTCTTCGTGTTCTAAAAACATATTTCTAAAAAAGATATGCATGTATTTAATAATAACAAAAATTTAAACAATTTATAAATGAAAAGATATGATAAAAAAATAAGATATAAATTTAATTAATAATATACATACCAATTCGTGTTAATTATAATAACATAAAATTCTAGAAAACAAAGATATATCATTATAAAAATTGTTTTTTTGTACTTCTTGTTTATAACTCTTTATAGCATAATTATGACTACACTAAGTAATTCTTAAATACATAAGAAATATGTTGAACACAACAGATTTTAGGCTTTTCGTATGGCATCACTTGGAAATAAAAAAGCATTTTTAATACACCTGTTTTTTGTATTTGTCCTGTATTTATATATGTTTCTAACTAATTATGTCAATCAAAAGGTTACAAATTACAATAATCATGTATACTCCACCGCGTAAAAAACAATTTTATGTATTGTTAATATATCAATTGCATATATATTAGTATATAAAATGCATATCTTTCTCATTAATAGTTTATCATTATTAATTACATTATTTTATAAATACATTACAATGATCGATGGTATATGGCATCATTACATGCATAGAAAATGATACACGTTATTTTGCAAAAAAGCAGCAAAATTTTCAACGTAAATGTCGCCGGAATGTTTGTAATATCGTTACAGTGTTTCACGGTAAGAATATTGCATAATATAACTGCGATATTTATAGCTTAACATGTTCCACATAATGCAATATTAAAAACGTTATTTATCATTCATTTTTATTACAGTTAACAAAAGCATCGATGTCTTATTTTATGTATTCTACCCAGCAATGATACGAAGATACACTATCGATAACAGAAATCGTTCAGAAAATATTTTCCAGTTTGAAAAAGTTTATTATGATTTTAATACATTTTGCATAAATTAAATAATATATCCTGATAACAGCGTTTTGTTTTTTGACTGTTGCACTGTTTAGACAATTAAAAAATCGCAAATTGACAATAATTTATTTTCCTATAAAGGATACCTATTTTATATTATGAAATATGTACGTCAAGTCGGACATGTCCTGAGAAAGTATGAAACAAAACGAATGATATGTTATAGAATATTTAAAGTTAATTTTTTTACAAATGTATACAGAATTATCGTATATATTTTCAAACGAGTAAAATAATATTAATATCTGCTTTATATAAAGCGGTAAGTAATATATTACAAGAGATCTAATATGCATTAAATGTAGATAGAATATGAAATAATGAACCACATGTATGTGTGTTTTAATTAAAAGCAACAATTATCCAGTTTCGCTTATTATAAAATGTAGAAAACACTGAATTACAGTTTCTTACCTTATATATTGATGGCAATAGTTTTATAGCTAATTTGCCAGCACATGTAAAGTGGATCGACTCTGTTCCTTTAGACTTTAGAAAGACAAACTCCTTCCACGAGCGCACGCACAAGAATGAAGCACATAAAACCCTGTTCCTTGAAAAAAGAGCGATCGCGCTTGCGCCGATCGATAAGGTACCTGATGAATGTATGTTTCTCTCTGTGAAATACTCATTTCTTAAATTTCCTTCCATGAAAAATTGATAGCTTAATCACCACTTCACAAAATTGTTAAATTAAAAAAGTTTCGTTTCCACATTATTTGTGCAGTTTGATATTTATAATGAATTAGATAATTTATGACAAAATTTATTCTAAAAATACGGTAAGAGTTGAAGAATACTTCATTTGAAGAAGAAAAAGGAGAGGATAGAAACGAATCTTTATCAATTTCTCCGCAGTCCAGTTCCTATGCTCGCACTATAATGATTTGCGTTGAGACTCAACATTTTAATCTTAATCGGATCCTGCTACTTGCAATCGGCTTATGGCCGTATCAAAACTCAAAATTTAGTCAATTTCAGGCAATTTTGTGTTTTGGTATTTTGTCAAGCTTTGTTGTATTTCAGGTATGTCCATATTTTTATTCATATTATTCTAGAATATGCATTACAAAAATTATTACTAATTATATGAAGGGCAGTTTAATATAAACCGAATTTTTCCATAACTTTTTATTCAATTAAAATATTTTCAACCATACCCAAGTCATTTTTCTATAGAATTTCCGCTTACATCTAAACATTTTTGACACCGGATTGGCAGTTTTTTTATTCCCGTGTCATAAAAAGTAGGGAGACATATTCAAAGCCAACAAATTGCGCACAAATTCATCCACCTTAACATTATTGTTGAGTCGTTATCCTTCGAACGCCTTTTTCATTGGCCCAAATAAATGATAATCACAAGGGGATAAATCGGGGCTGTAAGGGGGATGTTCAATGGTGGTCCAGTGCAATTGAGCCAATTTCTCTTGGGTTATAGCGGCGATGTGAGGCCTATCGTTGTCGTGCAGAAGCAACATTTTTTTTGTACGCAATTGGCTTCGGATATGTCGCACTCCTGTTTATGACACGCGAATAAAAGAATTATCAATCCGGTGGCAAAAGTGCTTAGATGTTAGTAGAAATTATGTAGAAAAATGACTCGGGCATTGGAAATACTTTGATCGAATAAAAAGTATTGGAAAAAGTTCGGTTTATATTTGACTGTCTATCATAGAAAGCGCTCACTTTTATTGAATTACAAAACATGATCAAACTATATTTAATTATTGATAATAGAATATATTTCAACTGCAACACATAATTAATAAAGTTTTATTATTATTACGTTTTATTATTACGTTATTATATATTATTGCATATATTACAAAGCAAATTATCATTTTGATCTGTGTAAAGAAAACTGATTTTGTTATGCAACATTTTCAATAAATTTTTTGGTTGAAGCTTACAGCGCTTATAACTACAAAATGCACTGTTGATTTTATCCTCAAAGTTTTCTCTACCGCAATAGTCTATAATTTCCACGTAATTATATACAGCATGTTCTGGATTAACACTCATCATGTAAGTTAATTGTTTACTAACTTGTATAAATCAATATTCCAAAAACAAATAAATTTTTATATATCACAACCTTTTGCAACTTTTTCAAAACAACATTAATTATTGCTGTGATGGTAGGTGAGAAATTTGTTGGAGCAACTACACTGCATTTGTAATAACCTAAAAGATGAAAACGAACTTACTATCTTTAAAAAGTATGAAAATAACACAAGACGTTGTACAATTATATTTACATGTAAGACAGTATTTTTTATCGACTATCTATATGTCATGAAGTTCAGCATATTCAAATCGTGAGACAAATTAAATATTTAAATTAGACTGATTGACTAATTTGTGAATCTCATCCTAAACATATTTATCACATTTTTCCACCTGAATAAAAAATTATAAAGCTTCTGCATGGCGAAAAGCATGTCTACATACATATGTATGTATATTTTTAATATATGTATATATAATATGTTACTCTTAATTTTTTTATTAACGTTTGAAAAAAAAACAAAACTTTAAAATCAAGAAAAAAACCAGAGCAAAAGAGTGATTTAAGAATAGCAAAATTTGAATGAGAGAGAGGATTATGTATAAGTAATACATTATAAAACATAAAAAGAGCAACTTGTAAAACAATTTTCTTTAAATGTTTTTAGCGTTCGCCGTATGCTGTGTATTTATTCTTACTTTACTGCCTATTTGGCCACAGATCCTTGGTACTGTCTTGTACATAAACGAGTCTCAACTACAAAGTCAGACAATACAAATCGTGACTGAATATTTTGTCGATCAAGAAAAATATTACTATTTAATTTTACTGCATACAGACGCAGTTTTTTGTATTGGAGCGACTACATTGACAGCAACAGGAACAATGATCTTAGGATGCGCCATACACGCATGTGGAATGTTTAAAATTGCAAGGTGAATAATGAAGTTAGAAATGGATACGATGTGTATGACTACAAACAAAATCTTTATTTGTTTGTTTGTTTTAATTTGTTAATACAATTTTGGGAGAACTACATATTTACAGCAAATAAATTAATCATAGTTATCGTATGGAGCAAATAATGACGACCGAAATGCTTAAAAACATTAACTTGAAGAATCGAGCTATGATTTATAACAAAAAAATATTCAATGCCGTCGAAATACATTGCAAGGCTATAAAGTTGGTATGCGTATAACAATTATATGTATAACACTTGTAATAATTTTGTTTTTCGTAAAGGTTCATCAATGTATTGCTATCTAATTTTGAAAGCTTGTTTCTGTTATTAATAATGTTTGGTGTGATTTCTTTAAGCCTGAATATTTTTGCAGTAAGTATTTTTTTCGTGTTCTAAACACATATTTATAAAAGGGTTATGCGTATATCTAGTAATAACCAAAATTTAATCAATTTAACAAGATAAAAATATTATAAAAGAATAATATATAATTTTAATTTTAATAATATATAATTTTAAATAAATAATATGCATAACAAATCGTGCTAATTAAAAAATTATAAAATATTTAAAAACAGAGTAATCTCAATATTAAAATTGGTTTTTTTCTTGTATTTCTTATCTATATCCTTTTTGCAGTTTATATACTTATTAGACATACCTAGACTATAATGAGTAATTGCTCATACGAAATTGTGTTAAACACAGTTATGATATTTTAGATGTACTGGAATGCAACACATGGAAATAAGGATGCTATTTTATTTTATCTTATTGGAATATTTATCATCCTTTTATGTTCGTTTGTAAGTAACTATGTTGGAGAAGTGCTTCTCAGTCATAATAATTACATATACTCCACCACGTAAGAAACAATTTTATGTGTTGTTTGCAATTATATATACATATTAATATATGTATATGTATATTTATCATATTCTTCAAAGATACAATATTCGATGGTATATGGCACCATTACACGTACAGAAAATGATACTTTTTATTTTGCAAAGAGGCAGTCAAACTTCCCATCTAAGTATTGCCGGACTGTTTATACCATCAATAGAAAATTTTGTTATGGTAAGAATTACTACATATCACAAATTGAAATATTTCAGCACGTTCCATATTGCAATCTAAGAGACGTATTTCGTTATTACAGATAACAAAAGTATCAATATCTTATTTCACTGTTTTATGTTCTATGCAGCAATGATGCAAAGACATTTTATCTGACAAAGTGAGCCAGAAAATATTTCTTACGTTTGAAATAGTAAAATGTAGAATATTAAAATGTGTGTCACGTTAATAAAATCTGCAAAAATTTAATTATACATCCTAATAACAGCATTTTGTTTTCTGACTATTGCACTCTTTAGATAATTAAGAAATCTTAAACTCATAATTATTTATTTTCCTCTAATGAATACTTATCTTACATTATAAAATATGTACGTCAAGTAGGACGTGTCCTGAGAAAATATGAAACAAAATGAATGATATATTACAGAATATTTTAAATTTAATTTTTTTTATAAATGTTACACAGAATTAATATGAATATTTTTGAACGAGTATAATAATATCAATTTCCGCTTAATATAAAGCAGTAAAGTAAAAGAAAAAAGAGAGATAGAAGCAAATCTATTAATTTCTCCGCAGTCCAGTTCCTATGCTCGCACAGTAATGATCTGCGTGGAGACTCAACATTTTAATCTCAATCGGATCTTCCTACTCGCAATCGGCTTAGGGCCATATCAAAAATCAAAATTTGGTCTACTTCAAACAACGTTGTGTTTTTTTAGTATTTTGATAAGCTTTGTTGTATTCCAGATATATCCATATTTTTGTTCATATTATTATAGAATATGCATTACAAACATTGTCACTAATTATACGAGGGGCAGTTTAATATAAACCGAATTTTGTCCATAACTTTTATTCAATTAAAGTATTTCCAACGCACACCCAAGTCATTTATCTACATAATTTGCGGTAACATATAAGCATTTTTTTGTTTCGCCACAGAATTGACAGTTTGTTTATTTCCGTGTCATAAAAAGTAGACATGTTCTGTGGGACATGTTCAAAGATTATCGAAAACTAAATACTTTACGAGATATTTTATTTTTTATATCAAAATATGTCAGATTAAAATATAAACTAACTCAAAAAGTACTTAATGAAAAACTACTTTATTCTAGTGTTTTGAAAAGCTTTCGAGATAAACTACAAGAATATGTAATAAAAAATGGGGGTTCCATTTAAGAAAACATCGATCACATTGATTTGGCCTTGAAAAAGTCACTCAAGGTCAAGTCCATATTTTCATCATGTGTCCCCCTCGAAACCATACAACTTTTGTCTAAAACATTTTTGTCTTAAACTTATAGATTTTAAGATATTTCAGTGGATACATTAAAATGGTCTACCCTGTATATAATAACTTTACTCTTAATTTTTATTATTATATTGAAAATACACAAAATTTTATAGTAAAAAAAGAAATCAGAGCAGAAGAGTGATTTAAAAACAGCAAAATTTGAAAGGGAGAGAGAATTATGTATAAGTAATACATTATAAAACATAAAAGAAGCAACTTGTATAATTATTTGTTGAAGTATTATTTTAGATTAAGTGTGAAAAAAAATCGGGAGAGTATAAAAAGAACAATTCTTTTTATTTTTTATAGTTTACAGTCTTTATTGAATTTCCGTGTTACTTAGAGAGAATGACCGACTAGACTGGAAGCGTTTTCACGCATTCTCATACCGCACGGGCGGTAACGGTAATACCCAAAGTGTGTTCGGATGTTGTGCAATCATGGCTCAGCTCACTGACGCCATGATTTGTGTTGCAGCGATTTAAGCAACTAACGCAATACCCGATATCTCTAACACTATTTCATTTAAATGTTTTTAGTGTTGGCCATATGCAGCACATTGTTTGCTATTTTAATGCCAATTTGGCCACAGATCTTTATTGGTACTGTTCTGCACATAAACAAGTCTCGAGTACAGAATCAGGCAATACAAATGACGACTGAGTACTTTATCGATCAAGAAAAATATTCCTATTTAATTTTACTACATACAGATGCAATGTTATGTATTGAGATGACTACGTTGATAGCGACGGGAACGATGCCCTTGGGATGCGTTATACACGCCTGTGGATTGTTTACAATTGCAAGATAAATAATGAAGTTAGAAATAGACAGGATATGTATGACTGCAAACAAAATCTTTATTTGTTTGTTTGTTTTAATTTGTCAATACAATTTTAGAAAAACTACATATTTACAGCAAATAAATTAATCATAGTTATGGAGCAAATAATGACGACCAAAATGCTTAAAAATATTAATCTGAAGAATCGGACTATGATTTAGAACAAAAAAATATTTTATGCCGTCGAAATACAAAGCTATGAAGTTGGTATGCGTGTGATAACAATTATATAATACATGTAATAATATTTTGGTTTTTGTAAAGATTCACCGACATTTCTAGTTTTTAAGGCTTGTTTCTGTTATTAATAATGTTTGATTTCTTTAAGCTTGAATATTTTTGCAGTAAGTATTTTTTTTCGTGTTCTAAAAACATTTTTATAAGAGATATACGTATATCTAATAATAACCAAAATTTAATCAATTTATAAATACAAAAATTATAAAAAAATAATATGTAATCTTAATTAATAATATGCATACCAAATCGTGCTAATTATAAAATTATAAAATATTTAAAAACAGGGTAATCTCAATATTAAAATTGGTTTTATTTTCTTGTACTTCTTATCTATAACTTTTTTATTGCATAATTATGACTATAATCAATAAGATAATTTAGTATGTTAAACTCTAAATAATAAATATACACAAATAAATAATATAAAACGTGCAAATGAGAGCCAACGCGCTGGATAAGAGGCAGCAAAAATATATTTTTTGTAGGTGTAATTGTGTTTATTCGACGTGTCGATCCCCGAATATTGAACCATTTTCAGTAATTTGACATAGTATTAATAATGTCAAAAGAAAAACCTTTTCCATTATATCCCAGAAAAAAAGCAATACGCGAAATAATAGAAAAGATCAAAAACCTTTGCGGAGACAATTATTACATCTCTATAAAAAGAGAAAATATGTTGGAAACCAAAATTCAAACAAAGGAAGTTGAGGAGTATAAAAATCTGACCAAATGGCTAAAAAACGAAAATAAAAAATTCTATACTCACCAACTAAAAAATCAGCGTGCCTTCAGTGTCATCATCAAAGGAATAGACGCATGGATAAGCTCAGATGAGATTTTACAAGCCTTACAGGACAAAGAACACTCAGTAAGAGGAGCCATGAACATAAGAAACAAAAGTAAGGTCCCTCATCCAATGTTCCGAGCGGATCTAGAACTTGAAACCAAAAAAAAGGAGAAAAGTCATCCCATCTACGAATTAAAATACCTCTTGAATCGAAAAGTTACAGTAGAGGAGCCAAATAGAAAACCCAGACCGGTTCAGTGCCATAACTACCAGGAGTATGGGCATACTAAATAATATTGCACTCTGAATAGCGTCTGCGTGATCTGCGGCGAACAACATCTAACAGAAAATTGCAACAAAGAGAGAGGCATGACTTCAGCCAGAAAATGCAGCAACTGTGGAAATAACCATACAGCAAATTATAAAGGATGCCCAGTATATTTAAAATTAAAGAATAGTATGACCTTTAAGCAAAACGCAAAGCAAAAAGCGCTGAACAAACAACAAAAATAAAAGACCCACGCAACTGTAGCTCTATTAGGTCTTACAGATTATATACGATCAAGAATCAGTTATGCAAATGCAGCCCAAGGGAAAAACGCTCCATCCCAACAAGAAACTACAGTGTCAAACAACGCCCAACTTAGCATGAGCGAAATTATGAACAACCTTATGGCCGTGATGCAAAGTGTGCAAGTCATGATGAATAACATCAACACCATGTTACAGATGCTCCTTCAGAAAAAATGGAGCACCAACTTAAAATAGCTCTATGGAGCGCTAACGGACTTACTCAACATAAACTTAAAGTCCAATCCTTTCTCGAGCAAAATGGAATCGACGTCATGCTGATTTCCGAAATTCACTTCACTAATAAGTCTTATTTTAAAATCCATAACTATATACCAGGTATATAAATATGAAACCGGAATTTGCCCATTAATGGCCCTAGCTGTCAATTTAGTTACTGTCAAACCGCGTCATTTTCTTGTTTTGACATCTGATAAAGATTTTCAACTCACAACAATACAAGTTTCGTACAACAGCATAGTTTTTAATAGCGTTGAACATGTCGAATTTTGTGCCTGGAAACTACGATTTGCGGACAGCATTGATTTTCTGTTACCATTTGAAGAAAACTGCTGCAGAATCGCATCGAATGCTTGTCGAAGCTTACGGTGAGCATGCTCTTGGTAAATCACAGTGCTTTGAGTGGTTTAAAAAATTCAAAAGTAGCGATTTTGACGTGAGAAACGAAGAACATGGAAGAAGGGTTTGATCTATTATGAGCTGCTAAAACCTGGCGAAACCGTTAATACTGAACGCTACCGACAACAAATGATCGATTTGAATCAAGCTTTGCGTGAAAAACGACCAGAATATCAAAAAAGGCAACACAAAATGATTTTGCTTCATGATAATGCACCATCACACACAGAAAAACCGGTCAAGGAAACGATTGAGGCGTTTAGTTGGGAAATACTTTCGCATGCGGCTTACTCACCAGACTTGGCTCCATCCGATTACTACTTATTTGCATCGATGGGACACGCACTTGCTGAGCAGCACTTCACTTCTTACGAAAATGTACGAAAATGGCTCGATGACTGGTTTGCCTCAAAGGAGCAACAGTTTTTTTAGCGTGGCATCCACAAATTGTCAGACAGATGAGAAAAATGTATAGCTAGCAATGGGCAATACTTCGAATAAAATATTTTTTATCATTTTCATACAATAAACGTGTATTTTCTATACAAAAATTCCGGTTTCATATTTATATACCTGGTAACTTATGATACAAAACACCCGGATGAGAAACCCGACGGGAACAGCTGTTCTTGTAAGGAATAGGATCAAACATTCCGAGCTGCAAGGGTACAACCAAAAGCAAATCCAAGCAACAAACATAAAAATTGAAGAATGGGCTGGCGATCTCGTCCTGTCAGCAGTATACAGTCCGCCAAAACACGTGATTAAAAAACACCAATTTGTCAGTTATTTCAAGATTCTGGGGAGAAAATTTCTAGCAGGAGGCGACTTCAACTCAAAACACACACACTGGGGATCGAGGTTAATATCATCTAAAGGCAAACAGCTTTATGAAGCTATGCAAGAAAAAACCTAGACTGCCTGTCGAGTGGCCAACTAACTTATTGGCCAACCGATCGCCGGAAAATTCCAGACCTCATTGACTTCGGCATCAGAGAATAGAAATATCACAGAGAATAGAAATATCACAAGCGAAACCATGCTTTGATCTGTCTTCCGATCACTCTCCAGTAATTATTACTATGTGCGCCCAACCACGCAGAGTAGAATCACCGCTTCGTCTAACAAGTAAAGCAACAAACTGGAAAGTATTCAAGGAAAACTTAAAATCAAAATGTACAACGGATATCTCGTTAAAAACAACAGAAAATGTTGATAAGGCAGTGAACAATCTCACAGCCCTAATAACCGAGGCTACGAGCACAGCCACCCCATCGCCACCAGTAAATAACAGCGAAAAAATACACAAATCATCAAAGAATGTATAACTTCTACTGCAAGATAAGCGCAAGTTAAGAAGGCAGTGGCAATAAAATAGATCTTTAATAACTAAAAGCAAGTTAAACAAAACGATCAAAAAACTCAAGAAAGCCCTGTGCACAAAAATAGACGAGGACATCCAAAGCTATCTCAAAGAACTAGCATCTACAGAGCATACAGATTACTCTCTCTGGAAAGCAACCAGAAAACTCACACTGCTTACCCTCCAATCCGCCTGCCTGACGGCAATTGGGCAAGAAATGACACAGAAAAAGCGAATGCATTTGCGTCTCATCGGTGCAAAGTCTTCACACCCAATGAGACTAATAAAATAGAAATGCTCCCAGAAATCTTCAACGAAAGTGATAGGGAAGAGAATATAAAATTCAAATGGCAAGACGTGAAGGAAATGATCAAGAAAAATATTAACCTAAAGAAGGCTCCTGGTTGCAATCTTATCACGGGAAAAATACTAAAAGGAACACCGGACAATTGTATAACATTAATTGCATACATATTCAACGCAATGATGAGGCTGGGATACTTCCCGAAAAGCTGGGAGATCACCCAAATAATCATGATACCAAAACCGTTAAAGACGACCCAGGTCTCTTCTTATCGACCAATAAGTTTGATGCCAGTCTTATCCAAGCTTTTCAAAAAGCTACTATTAAGCAAAATTAAACCTATTATAGCAGAAAAAGGTATTATTCCAGAACACCAATTCGGCTTCCGAGAACAGCATAGTAAAGTTGAACAGGTTCACAGAATTGTAGGACAGATAAAGATGATCCTTGACAAAAAAAAATATTGTTCTGCTGCGTTTCTCGACGTAGCGCAATCATTCGACAAAGCGTGGCACGAAGGACTCATCCACAAGATCAAACAGCTGTTTTCAAAGCAATACCAAGACATCCTCACCTCTTACTTAACCAACAGAGAATTCAAAGTTAAGCAAAACAACAAAGAATCTGAGCTAAAACCAATTAAAGCAAGAGTACCACAGGGCAGCGTACTCGGACCGATGCTGTACTTAGTCTTTACTGCTGACCTGCCGAGATCCAACAAAGTGACAATTGCCACTTTTGCTGACAACACAGCGATCCTGTCAACTCATGAAAATCCGGCGACAACGTCCAGAGAACTACAAAATCATCTTGATAAAATCCAATCGTGGCTACAAAGATGAAGCATTAGAGTCAATGAGTCCAAATCGGTCCATACAACATTCACGCTCAGGAAAAAAACATGTCTACAAGTGAAACTGAACAACATTGTACTCCCTCAGCATGAAGAAGTAAAGGACTACATTTAGACAGGAGACTAACCTGGAGAAGACACATTGAGAGCAAATGTAAGCAGCTAAAAATAAAATGCGGGAAGATGTATTGGCTTTTAGGATACAAATCACAGTTGAGCCTGGATTGCAAACTGCTTCTCTACAAAATGATACTAATGCCAATATGGACCTACGGCATCCAACTGTGGGGGACCACGAGTTTATCCAATTTGGACAAGTTGCAACGTTTCCAATCAAAAACGCTGAGGCGCATAGTTAACGCACCATGGTTCGTAGGAAATGACGAGATTCACCGAGACCTGAACGTGAAATACGTGAAGGAGGTGATAAAGGAGCATAGTGCCAAATATCAGTCGAAATTGTCAACACATTCCAACAATCTGGCAAAGGATCTATTGAACGCGCCTAAATATGTGCGCTTGAAGAGAAAAGACCCCCTCGATCTAGCAACGAGTGTGTTATAATTATTGTAATTTGATGAACCCGGATATTGAGTGTTGGCGAAGGTCAGCACGCAATTAATTGACCGAGTTGGTGGTAGTGAAGTTGAGACCTTTCTGAGAGTGTCCTGGTTTGGATAGATTCAGAATTCGTAAGGCTAAAGGTTGGTTGTAAAAGAAAAAAAAATAATTTTCGGGAGTTCAAACGGGTATGCCTTCTTAAGGTAGGAAACCCAGTGTAACGGCTAAAAAAAGGCTATTTTTTTCTAGTAAATAATCGTTTTTTTCAAAATCGCATTATTAACATCACAAAGTACATAATTTGAACTATCTTTTGTGATTTTTTCGTTAAAAAATATTAATATTTATAGCTACAATAGCTAATGGTGTGAGCCGCCTTAAAAAAAACGGGCGTATGCGTAGCGGGGCAACAAAAGGTCTGAAACAAAAAAAATATGTATTTTCTTAAAATATAAGACAATAGCTTCAGTTGCACGTATGGAATTTTCGATTGAATAATTTGTTTTTTTGTAATGTTAAAAAACAGAGGTCAATACCTTACTGATTTTTGAACATTTTTCTTTAAAAGTCCGTCATTTTGTAACAAATTATTTTTTTTAAATCCATACGTGCAGCTGAAGCTATTGTTTTATATTTTAAGAAAATATTTGTTTTTTTTGTTTCAGAGCTTCCGTTGGCCCGCTACGCGTGTGCTCTTTTTTTTAAGGCGGCTATCATACTATTGGTTATTGTAGCTATAAATATTAATATTTTTTAGAAAAAATTTCACAAAAGGTAGTTCAAATTATGTACTTTGTGATATTAATAACGCGAATTGAAAAAAAAAAAATTATTTACTAGAAAAAAAAATCCTTAAAAGTAGTCTTTTTTTCAGCAGTTACACTGGTTTCTCCCCTTAATAGTTCATCATTATTCATCACATTATTTTATAAATACATTACAATGTTCGATGGTATATGGCATCATTACATGCATAGAAAATGATACACGTTATTTTGCAAAAAAGCAGCAAAATTTTCAACATAAATATCGCCGGAATGTTTGTAATATCGTTACAGTGTCTCACGGTAAGAATATTGCATAATATAAACTGCGATATTTATAGCTTAACATGTTCCACATAATGCAATATTAAAAACATTATTTATCATTCATTTTTATTACAGTTAACAAAAGCATCGATGTCTTATTTTATGTATTCTACCCAGCAATGATACGAAGATACACTATCGATAACAGAAATCGTTCAGAAAATATTTTCCAGTTTGAAAAAGTTTATTATGATTTTAATACATTTTGCATTAATTAAATAATATACCCTGATAACAGCGTTTTGTTTTTTGACTGTTGCACTGTTTAGACTTTAGACAATTAAGAAATTGCAAATTCACAATAATTTATTTTCCTATAATGGATACCTATTTTATATTATGAAATATGTACGTCAAGTGGAAAATGTTCTGAGAAAGTATGAAACAATACGAATGATATGTTATAGAATATTTAAAGTTAATTTTTCTACAAATGTATACAGAATTACCGTGTATATTTTCAAACAAGTAAAATAATATTAATATCTGCTTCATATAAAGCGGTAAGTAATATACTACAAGAGATCTAATATGCATTAAATGTAGGTAGAATATGAAATAATGAAACACATGTATGTGTGTTTTAATTAAAAGCAACAATTATCCAGTTTCGTTTATTATAAAATGTAGAAAGCACTGAATCACAGTTTGTTACCTTATATATTGATGGCAATAGTTTTATAGCTAATTTGCCAGCACATGTAAAGCGGATTGACTCTGTTCCTTTAGACTTTAGAAAGACAAACTCTTTCCACGAGCGCACGCACAAGAATGAAGCACATGAAACCGTGTTCCTTGAAAAAAGAGCGATCGCGCTTGCGCCGATCGATAAGGTACCTGATGAATGTATGTTTCTCTCTGTGAAATACTCATTTCTTAAATTTCCTTCCATGAAAAATTGATAGCTTAATCACCACTTCACAAAATTGTTAAATTAAAAAAGTTTCGTTTCCACATTATTTGTGCAGTTTGATATTTATAATGAATTAGATAATTTATGACAAAATTTATTCTAAAAATACGGTAAGAGTTGAAGAATACTTTATTTGAAGAAGAGAAAGGAGGGGATAGAGGCAAATCTTTATCAATTTCTCCGCAGTCCAGTTCTTATGCTCGCACAGTAATGATCTGCGTTGAGACTCAACATTTTAATCTTAATCGGATCCTGCTACTTGCACTCGGCTTATGGCCGTATCAAAAATCAAAATTTAGTCAATTTCAGGCAATTTTGTGTTTTGGTATTTTGACAAGCTTTGTTGTATTCCAGGTATGTCTATATTTTTATTCATATTATTCTAGAATATGCATTAGAAAAATTATCACTAATTATATGAAGGGCAGTTTAATATAAACTGAATCTTTTCCATAACATTTTATTCAATTAAAATATTTTCAACTCATACCCAAGTCATTTTTCTACAGAATTTCCGCTTACATCTAAACATTTTTGCCATCGGTTTGGCAGTTTTTTTATTCCCGTGTCATAAAAAGTAGGGGCCAAAATTCAAAGCCAACGAATTGCGCACGAATTCATCCACCTTAACATTATTGTTGAATCGTTGTCCTTCGAAGCCTTTTTCAGTGACCCAAACAAATGATAATCACAAGGGAATAAATCGGGGCTGTAGGGGGATGTTCAATGGTGGTCCAATGCAATTGAGCCAATTTCTCTTGGATTATGGCGGCGATGTGAGGCTTAACGATGTCGTGCAGAAGCAACATTTTTTTTAAACATAATTGGCTTCGGATATGTTCCACTACTGTTTATGACACGGGAATAAAAGAACTATCAATCCGATGGCAAAAGTGCTTAGATGTTAGTAGAAATGATGTAGAAAAATGACTCGTGCATTGGAATCACTTTGATCAAATAAAAAGTTTTGGAAAAAGTTTGGTTTATATTTGACTGCCTATCATAGAAAATTCACTTTTATGCAATTACAAAACATGATCAAATTATATTTAAGTATTGATAATAGAATATATTTCAACTGCAACATAAAATTATTAAAATTTATTATTATTATGTTTTATTATTACGTTATTATATATTATTGCATATTATACAAAGCAAATTATCATTTTGATCTGTGTAAAGAAAAATTATTTTGTTATGCAACATTTTCAATAAATTGATTGAAGCTTACAGCGCTTATAACTACAAAATGCACTGTTGATTTTATCATCAAAATTTTTTCTACCGCAATAGTCTTTAATTTCTACGTAATTATCTACAGCACGTCCTGGATTAACACTCATCATGTAAGTTAATTATTTACCAACTTGTATGAATGAATATTTCAAAAACAAATAAATTTTTATATATCACAACCTTTTGCAACCTTTTCAAAACAACGTTAAATATTACTGTGATGGTAGATGAGAAATTTGTTGGAGCAACTACACTGCATCTGTAATGACCTAAAAGATGAAAACGAACTTACTATCTTTAAAAAGTATGAAAATATTGCAAGCCGTTGTACAATTATATTTACATGTAAGACAGTATTTTTTATCGACTATCTATATGTCATAAAGTTGAGCATATTCAAATCGTGAGACAAATCAAATTTTTAAATTAGACTGATTAACTAATTTGTGAATATCAGCTTAAACATATTTATCACATTTTTCCACCAGAATAAAAAATGATAAAACTTTTGCATGGCTAAAAGCATGTCTACATACATATGTATGTATATTTTTAATATATGTACATATAATATGTTATTCTTAATTTTTATTATCATATGGAGAAAAAAAAACAAAACTTTAAAATCAAGAAAAAAGTCAGAGCAGAAGAGTGATTTAAGAATAGCAAAATTTGAATGAGAAAGAGGATTATGTATAAGTAATACATTATAAAACATAAAAAGAGCAACTTGTAAAACAATTTTCTTTAAATGTTTTTAGCGTTCGCCATATGCTGTGTATTTATTTTTACTTTACTGCCTATTTGGCCACAGATCCTTGGTACTATCTTGTACATAAACGAGTCTCAACTACAGAGTCACACAATACAAATCGTGACAGAATATTTTGTCGATCAAGAAAAATATTACTATTTAATTTTACTGCATAAAGACGTAGTTTTTTGTATTGGAGTGACTACATCAACAGCGATAGGATCAACAGGCTTAGGATGTGCCATACACGCATGTGGAATATTTAAAATTGCAAGGTGAATAATGAAGTTAGAAATGGACACGATATGTATGACTACAATCAAAATCTTTATTTGTTTGTTTGTTTTAATTTGTTAATACAATTTTGAGAGAACTACATATTTACAGCAAATTAATTAATCATAGTTATCGTGTGGAGCAAATAATGACGACCGAAATGCTTAAAAACATTAACTTGAAGAAACGGGCTATGATTTATAAGAAAAAAATATTTTATGCCGTCGAAATACATTGCAAGGCTATAAAGTTGGTATGCGTATAACAATTATATATATAACACTTGTAATAATCTTGTTTTTCACTTGTAAAGGTTCATCAACGCAGGGATATCTAATTTTAAAGGCTTGCTTCTGTTAATAGTAATATTTGGTGTGATTTGTTTGAGCCTGAATATTTATGCAGTAAGTACTGTTTTCGTGTTTTAGAAACATTTTTAAGAGGGATATGCATGTATCTAATAATAACCAAAATTTAAACAATTTATAGATAAAAAATGTTATAAAAAAATAATATATAATCTTAATTCATAATATGCATAACAAATCGTGCTAATTATAAAATTATAAAATATTTAAAAACAGGATAATTTCAACATTAAAAAGACTTTTTTTTCTTGTATTTCTTGTCTATATTCTTTTTATATATTTATTATACATACCTAGACTATAATGAGTAATTGCTCATACGAAATTGTGTTAAACACAATTATGATATTTTAGGTGTACTGGAATGCAACGCATGGAAATAAGGATGAAGTTTTATTTTATCTTTTTATAATATTTGCCTTTTTTTCATATTATTTTATAAGTAACTACGTTGGAGAAGTGCTTCTCAGTCATAATAATTATATATACTCCACCACGTAAGAAACAATTTTATGTGTTGTTTGCAATTATATATACATATTAATATATGTATATGTATATTTATCATATTCTTCAAAGATACAATATTCGATGGTATATGGCACCATTACACGTACAGAAAATGATACTTTTTATTTTACAAAGAGGCAGTCAAACTACCCATCTAAGTATTGCCGGACTGTTTACACCATCATTAGAAAATTTCGTTATAGTAAGAATTACTACATATCACAAATTGAAATATTTCAGCACGTTCTATATTGCAACCTAAGAGACGTATTTCGTTATTACAGATAACAAAAGCATCAATATCTTATTTCACTGTTTTATGTTCTATGCAGCAATGATGCGAAGACATTCTGTCTGACAAAAATGAGCCAGAAAATATTTTTTATGTTTGAAATAGTAAAATGTAGAATATTAAAATGTGTGTCACGTTAATAAAATCTGCAAAAATTTAATTATACATCCTAATAACAGCATTTTGTTTTCTGACTATTGCACTCTTTAGATAATTAAGAAAACAAAAACTAATAATAATTTATTTTCCTCTAATGAATACCTATCTTACATTATGAAATATGTGCGTCAAGTAGGACGTTTCCTGAAAAAAATATGAAACAAAATGAATGATATAGTACAGAATATTTTAAAGTTAGTTTTTTTTATAAATGTTACACAGAGTTAACATGAATATTTTTGAACGAGTATAATAATATCAATTTCCGCTTAATATAAAGCAGTAAAGTAAAAGAAAAAAGAGAGATAGAAGCAAATCTATTAATTTCTCCGCAGTCCAGTTCCTATGCTCGCACAGTAATGATCTGCGTTGAGACTCAACCTTTTAATCTCAATCGGATCTTCCTACTCGCAATCGGCTTATGGCCAAATCAAAAATCAAAACTTAGTCAACTTCAGGCAACTTTGTGTTTTAGTATTCTGACAAGCTTTATTGTATTTCAGGTATGTCCATATTTTTATTCATATTATTATAGAATATGCATTACAAATATTATTACTAATTATAGCAAACGCTCTTTTATGCAATTATAAAACATAATCAAATTATATTTAATAATTGATAATAGAATACATTGCAACTGCAACACATAATTATTAAAGTTTCATTACGTTATTATATATTGCATATTACAATGCAAGTTATTATTTTGATCTGTATAAAGAATAATCATTTCCTTATGCAATATTTTCAATAAATTGTTTGGTTAAAGCTTACAGCGCTTATAACTACAAAATGCACTGTTAACTTTACCATCAAAATTTTCTCTACCGCAATATTCTGTAGTTGCTGCGTAAGTAACTACAGCATGTTCTGGATTAACACTTATAATGTAAGTTACTTATTTATCAACTTTTATAAATCAATATTCCTAGAACAAATAAGTTTTTATATATCACAACCTTTTCCAACTTTTTCAAAACAGTGTTAAATATTTTTGTGATGGTAGGTGAAAAATTTGTTGGAGCAACTACAGTACATCTGTAATGAACTAAAAGACGAAAATAAACTTGCTATCATTAAAAAATATGGACATATTACAAGACGTTGTACTGCTATTTTTATATGTAAGACAATATTTCTTACCAACTATACTATACGTCATAAAATTGAGCAAATACTAATCTTGAGAAAAGTTAAATGTTTAGATTAGTTTAATTAAATATATTTTGATTTTTAGTTTAAATAAACTTCTCATAAAAATTAGAGGAATACTTAATTTGTCTTAAAAAAGGCAAAATTCAGGCAGCTATAACTTCGTTAAAAATGAACAAAATTTAAATCCAAAAAAAGGGTTTCAAAGCTTCAAATCTCTATTTTCGAAAAGTCACTACTTTTTTGAGTTTCCATTATTTGGTAATTTTTACATATAGAAAACTACAAGCTGGACAAAATGGGTAATTTTCTTCTCATTTTATGGGTCTGTGACGTGCCCCAAAAAAATCTGCGAAAATTTTTAACTTTTTAATGTAAAAGCTTAAAGTTTTCTTTACAAAATTGTTTTTTTTTAGTGTTTTTAAGATTTTTTGTTATTGAGTTATCGCGAATTAAATAAAAAAATGATAATTTTGAATTTGACTGCTCATAACTGCTTTAAAAATTATCGTACCGCAATTCAGAAAACAGATTCATAAAGCTGACTTTGCTCTATTAAATGGTATAAATGCCAATTTTCTTTTATAAACATAAAGACATGATGCAAGTGGATGAAAATAACGTAAAAATTAGCAACTTTTTTCTTTACTATTTTGACCTAGAAAACCTAGGAATTGTGTAAAATAACAACAAAAAATTTGCACATTGCTTCCTCATAGAGGAATTTTATTTTGCTCACAAAGCTTAAGCTCCTTACAGCAAGCGAGTTTTTCAATTTTGGCTTCCTCATAGAGGAAGCAAATTCAATACCAACTATCCTTTAATGATACTCTATTCATATAAAAAGATTTACCTCGATATCTTAAACTTTGCAAAAGTTAAGACGTGTACAGACATTTCTCAAAAAATTCAAAATTTTATAAAAAATGAACCCTTTTACCGATACTTACCAAATTCAGTAGCAATCATTCTTTAATAATACTTTACTCATGTAAAAAAATTTAACCTGATATCTCAAAATTTGCGGAAGTTGCAACATGTACAGACATTTCTCAAAAAATTAAAGATTTTATAAAAAATTAACCTTTTCATCGATTCTCACCAAATTCAATACCAACCATCCTTTAATGATACTCTATCCATCTAAAAAAAATGTAGCCCGATATCTCAAATTGCGAAATTGCCAATATCAAAAATTGCGAAAGTCAGAGGTTGTACAATATATTGCATACACATACACACATACATACATACAGACATTTTTTAGGAATATGATTTTTCGACGTTTTGGAACAATCTGAACACATTGGCATTAAAAAATCAAAAAAAAATTTTGTCATGAAAAGCTTCCTCTATGAGGAAGGAAAATGTATTCTTTACATTTTTTTGTTCCTTTAAGTACCTTCCATGTAAAAAAAAATTTGCCGAATAGCTATGAAACCTTTTTCATGGTAGCCACTATGGTTTTATAGGGCAAAACGTACAAAAAATAGTGAAATTGCTTAATTTTAGTGGAAAAAAAGAAAAAATGCAAAATAAAGTTCAATTAACAATAAAAAAATCGGTTTTTAGTGTACAGACACTACACTACATTGATCTTTTTACTAACAAGTAAATCTACTTTTGTGTGACTCGCCGATTTTATTGAAACTCGGTACACTTGTAGAGCTATCAAAAATAATAGACACGTATTTTTTTATATTGGCAATGGTGCAATTTTAAGGGTGGAAACTACCCTTACATTTATAAGCAGTAATTAACTCGTCGTATTTAAACTCACGATATTAGAGTTATTTTTTGAGTTTTGGAGGTGATGAGGGGTTTCACATGTCGCTGAAAGCAAATTCAATGTAAAAATTATAAAATTCAAAATGGTGAATCTAATATGGCAACCTGATAAATCAAAACAATCTTATCTCACTCTTTGCCAAACCCAGGAATAATCGACGAAAAAGTGACAAAAGTCTATTTCTATTTTGTTTTTTGTTTATTTATAATTATATTTATTATTTATTTATTATTTTTATTATATTTATTATTTTTATTTTTTTATATTTTTTTATTGATTTCTTTTATTTTTTTACAATTACGTCACTTCTTGCGCCGTGCTCTATATTTTTACTTTTTATATTCTTTGCAGAAATACAGGTAAAAAAAATTTTTATACACAAAGAATTTGCGCACCAAGCACTTTATGACTGCTGTATTATTGCATAATGCACAAATAGCTTCACAATTTTTAAAACAATAATCTACAGGATTATCAAACTTAAGGTTTCTCTTGTAAATACATTTGTAAAAACTACCATTTTTGTACCACGAATATTTAAATAGATTTATAAACCAAGGAGAAGATAATTGATTATGAATAAGCGATTGAAGTTTGATAATGTTGTTTCGTAAATGTAAGTTTATATCGTAATTATACAAAATAACTATATCTGAAAAATGTTTAATAAAATTTTTCCAAATCCTGAAGCGGAAGATATCGAGAAGTTGAATCATTCCAGTCGTTTCTGCAGGAATTATTAATATTTTTATATTTTTTGATAATTTGTCTTTGTGTATAAAATTTATAATTATATTTATTATTTATTTATTATTTTTATTATATTTATTATTTTTAATTTTTTTATATTTTTTTATTGATTTCATTAATTTTTTTTACAATTACGTCTCTTCTCGCGCTTCGTTTATGTCTTTTTTTATTTTTTATATTCTTTACACAAATGATATGTAAAAAAAAATTCTTTTATACACAAAGACAAATTATCAAAAAATATAAAAATTTTAATAATTCCTGCAGAAACGACTGAAATGATTCAACCTCTCGATATCTTCGGCTTCAGGATTTGGAAAAATTTTATTAAACATTTTTCAGATATAGTTATTTTGTATAATTACGTTATAAACTTACATTTACAAAACAACATTATCAAACTCCAATCGCTTATTCATAATCAATTATCTTCTCCTTGGTTTATAAATCTATTTAAATATTCGTGGTATAAAAGTGATAGTATTTACAAAAGTATTTACAAGAGAAACCATTTAAGTTTGATAATCCTATAGATTATTGTTTTAAAAATTGTGAAGCTATTTGTGCATTATGCAATAATACAGCAATCATAAAGTGTGCTTGGTGTGCAAATTTTTTGTATACAAAAAATTTTTTTTACATATATTTCTGCAAAAAAATATAAAAAGTAAAAAAATAAAGCACGGTGCGAGAAGTGACGTAATTGTAAAAAAATAAAAGAAATCAATAAAAAAATATAAAAAAATAAAAATAATAAATATAATAAAAATAATAAATAAATAATAAATATAATTATAAATAAACAAAAAACAAAATGGGAATTGACTTTTGCCACTTTCTCGTCGATTATTTCTGGGTTCGGCAAAGAGTGAGATAAGATTGTTTTGATTTATCAGGTCGCCATATTAGATTATAAAAAATTATAAATATAATAAAATTAATAAATAAATAATAAATATAATTATAAATAAACAAAAAAAGGAAATAGGAATAGACTCTCGCCTCTTCGTCGGTTATTTCTATGTTCGGCAAAGAACGAGATAAGATTTATTAAGTCGCCATATTAGATCCGCAATTTTGAATTCTATAATTTTTACATTGGATTTGCTTTCAGTGATATGTTAAACCCCTTATCATCTCCAAAACTCAAAAATAACTGTAATACCGTAGGCTTAAATGCAACGAGTTAATTACTTATGTTTATAAATACAAAGGTAGTTTTCACTCTTAAAATTGCACCATTGCCGATATAAAAAAATACGTGTCTATTATTTTTAATAGCTCTACAAGTGTACCGAATTTCAATAAAATCGGCGAGTCACACAAAGGTAGGTTTACTTGTAAGTATCAAAAAAATAAAAAAAAATTTTTAAGTTTTTTTACCGAAATTTGAAAAAATACCGCTGGCGGTAGCATTATCCAAAGCATATCACGATAAGATCGGATTTTTTCAAATTTGATAAAAAAAAGTGTTCCTCTAATTTTTGTAAGGAGTTTATTACACCTTTCCACCAAAATAGTAAATTTATAAAACTTATATGATGAAAAGCATGCCTATGTATAATTTATAAACATGTTTACTATCTATTAGTACCATATTGAAAATATACAGCATATTATAGTTAACATTCTGCAAAAATATCAGAGCGGAAGGGTGATTGAAAAATAGCGAAATTTGAGAGGAGAGGAGAGGAGAGGAGAGGGGAGGAGAGGGGAGGGGAGGAAAGAAAGAGAGAGAGAGGGAGAGAATTATGAATAAATAACATATGTCATAAAATAAAAAGAGCAATGTTTACAATTATTTC